GTTTAATAATTATATTTTGTATCTATTTTATTTAATTTCTGCATTTAACTTTTGCTTTTTATGATGTACCTTTATGTGTAATTTGTTAATTGTAAATAAGGTATCTCACGGCCATAATGAAAAACAGCATGTATTTGTTGATTTGTGCTTCGTGAATAAATAAAGTTTTACTACTACTACTACTACACAACTTGGTGTAATAATTGGTTGTTTTGAACACCGAAACCTTGTTTTGAACGAAAATAAAAATTTGTTTGTGAATGGAAATTCCCCAAATCTATCTGTTTGTGTGGTGCAGGCTGACACCATGCATGTCTGGTCTTGCTGCAATTAGTCACGTTAATTAAATTATTTCTTTTACTGTCCTTCTTGCATGCTTTCAAATTCTTTTTATTTTATTGAAATATGTAAACAAAGAAGTTAAAGCAGTTTTTGATCATTTTTCAAAAAAAGGTCACATACTTTCCTATTGTTTACATTGGTTTTAAAGAACCAAAATTAGGAATAATTAATAATTTCTTAAATTCGGTAACTTTGTTGATACAGTATTTGAAGGAGGAAAATGATCTTGGTATCAATAATTTAATGCTACATTAATGCTTGTTCGAGTGGTACTGGCTGCAAAGGAATTCCTGTCATTTGAAATTTTTTATCACATACCTAAAATTTATAGATATTAAACAAATATCGGCAGATGACCATGTTCTAAAAACTGACCAAATCGACAAAACCCGGCCCCAATAATCACAGTGTATTTTACGAACCAGTTCAAGTTATTATTACAACTCAACTGGCTAATTATTAGATTACACTACAATTATTACAATTATACCGATAATTATAAATTTAACAATAAGAGAGCGTACTGTCTGTTTGTGCATGCATCACCAGCGTTCCATACACATACAAATATTAGCGGCCATTATCGCTGGCAGCCGCTTTCACTCGCGGCCGCTTCGGGCCTAATTCTTCCTCCTAGCCTAGCTAGGCCTATATCATGACTAGGTTTGTGATACCATCTCTAGGATAAGCCTATCCTATCCTATTTTTATCTAGATCTAAGCCAATCCTACCTTGTTTGTGATACAATCTAGGATAAGACTATCCTATCCTATTTTTACCTAGATCTAAGCCTATCCTAACTAGCCTAGGCCTATACTATTACTAGGCCATTTTTGTCTCCTCCCTATCCTTCCACCTAGCCTTCCACAAGCCTAACCTACTAGCCTAGGCCGCGCCTAGCTAGGTAGGCTAGTCTTATATTACTATATTAGGAAGCTCCTTCTCAATCTGCTGGCTCGATTGACCTAACCCAAAGCAAAACCAGAGACTAGCCTCCTTCCTAGGCCTAGCCTAGATACTATATTATTATTATTTATCTTTCAATTACAGTACATTAATTTCACAAAATCCTAGGCCTACCTACCCCTTCTCCTCCCTTACGGCGGTAGCATTTCTCGTATCGTATTCGTTATCGTACCAATCTGCTCTTTGATGATCGTCGTACGCACCACCTACCTCTAGCGCTCGCTACCTCGTACTATATTGAGGGCAGCATAGCACTGTTACTGTTGTTGTTGAATTCCTGCATATATACCATTTAAAAAATCCCAAGATGGATCATGGACCTATATATATCCATGATTCGATCGAAGAATTCCCAAATTAGCCTTAAATATCCAAAGATTGATAAAATATCAGTATTATATAAAACTTCATTTACATTTTTTATGAGTAATTTATTTTATTTTTTAATAGTTTCTCAATTTTGTATATTTTAATGCTGTTATGTCTAGTTATAGACCTAGTTTTTAATATATTTCATACAAAAGGCATCCTGGTAGCGTCAAATAATTAAAAAGAGTTTTTTCAATAGGTATTCATCATACAAAAATATCCATACCAGTAGAAAACCCCAATTGTTACTCTCGAAAATTTAAATAATAAATTTCCAAGATCCAAGGTTTCATTAAAATCCCATTCTTAGGATGAACTACTCAGTCCCCGACCGGGCCTCAAGTACCTGTATGGGCCTATAATAAGTCAAATGATAAATTCTAAGCAAGACACGTTTACGATACAAGATACGTTTGGTATTAAAATACAGTGGCGAATTCAAAGGGTGAGGTAGGCCCAATCCCCACCCCCGGCCTAAAAGTCTGAGAGTGTCATTTCAGGTCATCTGGAGGTGCCATAATCATTTTTCACCAATCACAGTTTATCGATCGTTCTGTTACAATGTGTGGCTTTTATGATTTTCAGGGCCGTCGGAACCGCACCGGCCGCACCGGCTTTAGCCGGACCACTTTTTTTCAATTCTATTATTTTTTTAAATAAATATAAACTGATACCTATATTAAGTAGTATTATTGTTCACGTCTTTTTAATGTTGTATATTCAAACAAAATCCATCATTCGCTTGTTTTTGTATTGCCTATAATTTCAACTTTATTGAGAATCCTTAATTATAGTAATTAAGATCGATTTTGAAAATCTCTAGAGGTATCAATATAGCAATTAGCTATTTATAACATGTTTTGGGGGTGAGTATGGTATCTACAGTAGTCCACACCCACTAGCTTTAAATCCTGGATCTGCCCCTGCATGATGGGTGTTGAATGTGGGTAGCTGCTTTGCAGGTTGCCAGCTTCTTTTCCTGAGCGTCTAGAGATGCCATATTTTCAAAAATTGTTCACCATGGTTGGGCTGGGGTAGGTATGAATTCAATATCCCAACGAACGTTAAGTGTTGTGTCTGGCCTCTTGAGGGGTAGCGGCCAATTGGCATCAGAGACTGTGGCGTAAGGTACACCGGCTGTTCAGGCGGTTCAGTGAGTGGTGCTACCAAAGATACTAGAAATACAAGATAGAGTTCTCCACACAAAAAAAGTGTTCCACCGTGTTCCACCGAAATGCATGGTGGGAATACGAAAAATGGGACGCCCCCTACAGCTGGATCTAAAAAAACTTGGGCCA